AATACTATATATATATATATATATATATAATGATTGAAATGTGACTGTATTTTACAAAATACTAGTCTACTAAAACACAGCCAAGACAAGTTACTTTGTACAGACCAAAGGTTAGTTTTATGTTATCGGATATGGTAACATGAGTGCACATTGTTACTTCTGTATGGTTAGCCAGGCACTGGTGGAAGGTCAGTATAATAAATATATATAAATGTATAATGTTATGAATTTATGCTATTTAGTCTAAACATTTATGTTTTTGTGTTATAATTTATGTTCATTTTAGAATGAAAGAGGCGTAATTTATATTTATTTCCTAATGTTTTATGTTGGTTGCAAGATTGGTCAAATCTACCAAACCCGTACTCATTACTGAAAATAACAGATAAAATATAAAGTTTTTCTTAAGAAACATTTGATAACTATCTGAACATTATAAATATTTTGCATGTGAAATTTGAAAATTTTCTCATGCGTAAAAAGACAAGAGAAAAATTGTTTTACAAACCTTAAGACTTAATGAAAAATTTTATATTTTGCGTATGAAAGCATTGTAATGTTTCTGATAAGGTACCAAATTTTGTTAACATTCATTTACTAATTTGAAAGTTATAGCATGAAAACTATAACAAGCACAAGGTTACGAGGTTAGTCCCAGGGACCAAGCCTGTGCTGAAAGAGTTAATAGTGGTCAATACCATCTTGGTTGATTAAGTTTACCAGTTAACAGCGGTTAATACCCTTTCAATTGATTTAGCTTACTAGTAGACAGTGGTCAGTACTCTTTCTGTTGTTTAAGTTTACTAGCTGTGCAATGGTCAGTAACTGTTAAATGATAAATTACACTTGTGTATATTTTTTAGGATTGTGTAAAATAACTTATGACATTTAGAGTGCATAAAAATGGTTTTCTTTAATGTCGTAACTTGTATGATAATATATAACTGTTGTGTCAGTTTGAATTAAACATAAGGCCAGTTAATGTAAAATAGCTCAACAAAATGGAAAGAAACTGTTCATGCTTAAAGAAAGATAGCTAAAACATGTTACTTTCTGTAGCCAACAGCAGAGCAGATTAGGATTGCCCAGATTATAAATGATGCCAACAAAAATGAAGATTTACAGCATAAAGTAGAGCAGGTGAGTGGCTCTTTCATTTTGAATACTTTAATATTCTTTCAAAACATTTGTTAGGCACCTGTTTACTTTTAATGGAGAGTACCTTGGGTGTTATTCAAAATAAGCATTTTAGTTCAATGTTCAAATGTATTTGCTGCTCAAAGTCAGTCTTTTATTATAACTTAATTTGAACTTTTAATGTGTACTTCAGGTTTTTATGTTAAGAAAAAACTGCTTGTAAAAGCGAGTCCAAAAAGTATTATCTTTCTATCACATTTCTAACAGTTTGTTAAATGCTTTGTAGGGAAGGGATGAAACACATTACCTCTGCTTAATCAGACAGGTGGTAGCACTGCATGTGTAGGGATGGTTTGGATTGTTTAGCGAGATGGTATTTTAAATATCTTCTTAATAGGTCATCAGAACTTTACAGTTACCTTTTATAACAATATCTATATCGTGACTGAGTCAAGTTCTAGGAATGTCTGTAAATATCATAGCACAAAATTTGAATTTCTTGTTCTTCTTTCTTCTGCTTCTTTTTTTATCACATAACTCAAAAACCAAAAAAAAATGGTGTCAACCAATTTCACTGAGATGTTATAGTTTCAAACTGAGTATTCACTTTTATAAGTATTATTATTAACTAGTAGAAATTAAAAAATGTATCATAATTCTAGTGTGAACCATGCTATCATTACCCCTTGAAGTTTTTCTTGCTGGAATTACCAACCAATAATAGATGAGCAATAAATATTACACTTGGAACCTCGTTATAGTTGGAATATGGTTATAAATAAAACCTTCCTATGTCTATTGAAACACTGCATTAAGAAACAAGTAAATAAAAAACTTTGTAAAAGAAGGAAGTAAATGTAGGGATGATGTTCACAAAACATTGTTGACCTGATGCTTCCTAACCATTACAGTATCATACTGTCAGTTCACAAAACATTGTTGACCTGATGCTTCCTAACCATTACAGTATCATACTGTCAGTTTGTTCACAAAACATTGTTGACCTGATGCTTCCTAACCATTACAGTATCATACTATCTGATAGTTTGTTCACAAAATATTGTAGGCTTGATGCTTCCTAACCATTACAGTATCATACTGTCTGATAGTTTGTTCACAAAATATTGTTGACCTGATGCTTCCTAACCATTACAGTATCATACTATCTGATAGTTTGTTCACAAAATATTGTAGGC